TTAAATTTCGTTTTTAAAGTTAAATATTGAGCAAAATATGCAGTGATGTTAGCTAGATCATAAGATTTAGTTTTATACAACAATCAATGGCTGATAGCAGTTTCTATGCAAACAAATTAATATTAGCTCCTATGGTTCGAGCTGGTAGAACACCGCTTAGGTTAGTTAATTCTATTATTTGTCTGAATTGTTAGTGATATTAGATATTTTCTTTCCTGAGATCAAAATTTAATCTTATCTGTCTTCGACAAAAATTTTCAGTTATATATTTTAATAATGGGGATTGAGATATGATGTAATGTTTATTTTCAAAAAGAAAAAAAAAATCACATTTGAGTTAGGTTAAATGATTTGATTAAATGATTAAAAAAGAAATTACTGGAATGATTAAATGATTACGAATTTATTTCTCATGTTGTTTAACTTTTGTCGTGGTTGTTGTTTAAGCTTTCAGATGATAAAATATAAGTGAGGAAACAATATTCTAATTGTAGAAATGATTTAATTTTGATTTTAACATACCTACAAAAAGTTAAATTCATTATTGTAATTTTTTTTTTTTTTGCTGAGATTTTTATCAAGACTTTTTTTTTTACTCTCTATTTTATTTATTTATTTTTTCTTTTGTTTGCAGAACTTTGGCATTACAGTATGGTGCTGATTTGGTATATACAGAAGAAATTGTTGATCAAAAACTATTAGGTTCTCAACGAACAGTAAATGGTAGCAGTTAGGAATTTTCAAGTAGTATAATAATTTTGATAAGAATATTCCTGATAGATTAAATGTTTATCTCTTCAATTTGATTAAAAACGCAAATTTTTATTTGAAGAAAAATTTTGAGTTTTCTTATAAAGGTTTCTGAAATCTTTCAAAAGTAATCATAGTTCTGTAGAAACAGAAAAGAAATGTAATGGATCATAATTGAAAATTCGAAATGAATAATTACAGATATTCTTGGAACAACTGATTATACATGTGAAGATGACGTCGTTTTGAGGATATGTAATCGAGTTGAAAAGCAGAAATGTGTCTTACAAATTGCAAGTCTTATGATTCATCCTAAAGAATATATATATTGAAAAATAAGTTAAAAGAAAAGTATGCTTTGCTGCAATTAACTGATAATTTAATAACTGACATACAATCTGAATCAATAAATGGATCAATAAGTAGATGTCAAGTGCCTTATTATGATATACTTTAATATATATTTGAAAGAAACAAGGGAAGTTTTTTGTCATTTGCAATAAATACAAATATGGAATCTATAAAAGGAAGAACTGAAATAGAAATGTTTTCTTGTAGGGAACAAATGATGCAGAACGAGCGGCAAATGTTGTTAGAAAAGTGTATGTTTATTAATTAGGTTTATTCTTGCTTTATTCTTAGGTTTATTTTATTCAATTTTTTAATTAATAATGATTGATTCAAATTTGAATTATATTTTTTAATTTTCCATTTCTTAGTGGAAACGATGTAGCAGCAATTGATATCAATATGGGTTGTCCAAAACCATTTTCTATAGCTGGCGGAATGGGTGCTGCTTTATTAGGAAATCCTGAAAGAGCGAAAGAGGTATTAATTATCTCATATATTTCTCTTTCTTCCTGAATAAGACACTGAAATTAGATTAATCAATAAATTGTTGACGGAATGTATATTTGAAAATTTGACGATAATTAATTATTCATTTTTACTCTAACCATTTATGTAAAGTTTCATTGGCTGAGTTTTATGTAAATTTGGTAAACATATGTTTATTTAAAAAAAAAGATATATGCTGTTTTATAAATGTATGTATTTTTCCGTCGAATTACACATTTATTTATCGTTTTATTAATATTAAAATTTAATTTGAAATCGATTTACTATACAATATATCAAATTTTCATCATGCATAATGAAACATTGAAACATCTAAAATTTTCATATGATTTTGAATTTCAGATAGTACAGACATGTGTCTCGGTTTCCACAATTCCAATCTCTTGTAAAATACGTGTACTAGATAAGGTATATATTTATTAAAGAATGCTTTTATTGATTAAAATATCATAAATATTTTATACTGATTTTTTTTTTTTTTTAATTACAATTTAATTCATACATTATTATGCTTTTAGCAAGAAGATACACTCGAATTTGTGAAGATGCTCGAAAGATGTGGTATTTCAGCAATTGGTGTGCATGGTAGACGTAGAAGTGAACGACAAAGTAATATGAATCGTTTAAATGAAATTCGTGAAATTACTCGAGTAGTTTCTGTTCCAGTTATTGCGAAGTAAATTGATGTATTTATTTATAATGAATGTTTTTTTTTAAGAAGTTATCATTCATATTGCAAATGTTTGGTAGCTGAATTCATATTTTATTTTATTTTTTGTAAAACTCTAATTAATTAATCGTTTCAAAAGTGTATTTATAGTGGATTTTCTGGTTCAATTAAAAAATATGAAGATATTATAAAATTTTGGGAGCAAAGTGGTGCAAGTAGTGTGATGATAGCAAGAAAAGCTCTCAGTAATCCAAGTATATTTTGTTCCAAAGGTTTCATATCATGGGAACAAGAAATATGTGGTTTTTTGAAAATGGTAATTTTTTTTTGTTTTTTGAATTTTTTCTTTAAACTGAATGCAATTATTAATTTTGATAATTTGTTTAATAAGAAATTTGCTTAAATCTTATATGTAAAAAATGTGCAATTTTGTTCTGTTTTTTTAAAACTTTCTGACTTTCAATATTGCTAGTAAAGTTATTTAGACAGTTTTTGTAAAGTTATTGTTGTACATTTATATTGCTAGTAAAGTTATTTAGACAATTTGTATAAAGTTACTGTTGACAATTAGCTTCGCAGACTGAACTACAATCATTGATGGACTGTTTTTTTTTTTCTTAAAATGTTTTCTATACAGTTAATTTTCAATAGAAATTTAAGTTTATTTTATTCTTTTTTTGTATTTTAGGCTTGCAAATATGATGAAAATTTCACCTCAACAAAATATGTAGTGCAGAGAATTCTCGGATCTAAACAGGTGCTAAGTTACAATTCGTTCTTTCAGGCTCCTTAAGTAATATCCTTCTCTCCCATAGTTAATAAAATGAAAAAATTTTTTTACTTTCGGTACCTTTCGAAATCCTTCGTAATTTTTTCTAAAAATACTTGCAAAATTCAACTTTTAAAGTGTAATTTTTTTAGGAAACTGACGAACGTGGACGAGAAACTGTCTTAGCAGGAAGTATTTCAGATATTTGTAAAGCATGGTCCATTAGTGATATATATAACTGTTATAAAAATATTCGAAAACGAGCAACACAGAAGCGAAAATTTGAAGTGGATGATGAAACAGGAATAAGTTTTATTGATCTCACATTTCCACCGTAAGTTTTTATTTATACTTCTATAAAATTAATTATCGCAACAAAAAGTTTGTTAGAAATAATTGCATTCAGTATAAATTTTAATCAAGAAATCCATCTTTATTTATATGTTTGACTACTTGAATACTATCTTGCTATGCAGTTGTACAGTATAACAACTTCTCTCTCTCTCTCTCTTTTCTCTTTCCCTTTCTCTCTCTGGTCTTAACATGACAATATCTTGTCTACATGGACATAATTATAAAAAACTAATATAATGATTAACCATTAAGCTATTCCGATTATTCCTATCCATTAGCATAATTTGTAATAGTTCGTGTTTAAATATTAAAATTGTTTTAACTTCTATTAATTTCTTCTCTTCTTCGTTTTTTGTTTGTTTTTTAAATGTTTACTGTTGAAACTGTTCATAATAACTATTTAGTAAGCGACTCAGAGATAGAAGTGGAGCAGTAACTCCAAAGTGTATTTTGAATGCTTTTTGTGATGAAAATGGAATTAATCGGCCAATTTATCAATGCGTAAGTTATAATTAATTATTTTCTCATTAAATGTTACTAATTTATTGATTTATTACTCAAAAAATGGTCGTAGTTTCTTTTTACATTTATTATGCATTGTTGGAAATATTTTTAAAATGTAGTTTTCAAAAACAGAGGACAAAATATTCTATTTTAGCATTAAAAGAAAATAAATTTACGGTAAAAATAAAGACTAAAAAATGAACATAAGAATAATATGAATTTCGTTCATTTATAATTTTATGTTTTCTTCATTTTCGTGTAAAATTTTTTCAAAAACTTTAATATTTGATAGATTTTAGAAATTACGCATAACTGATAAAAGGTACGAAGCAATTGTTGAAATTGATCATAAGAAGTTCTCATCACGTATTGGTCAACCAAATAAAAAAATGGCTGAACAGGTAAATTGTGTTTTTCGTGTTTCGTTACATTTTTTGTTTTTGTTTAATTAAGTGAATTTGATTAATTCCAGGTGGCAGCATTGGCTGCTTTAATTGGTCTTGGTAAGCGTGAAAAATTACCCGGTGACTGGGAAGAATAAATGAAATTTATAATCATCATTTGAAATGTGGTAATTGTTATTTTTATTAATTTTGTAAGACTTATAAAATTTAGAACATTTCACCAAGGTTATTTGATTATCATTTGTTTATTTATTTTAAATTTTACAGCTTTAAAATAGCTGTAAATTTTGTTCATCAAATTTTTATAACACACAATTTTTATAACAATCACTGTTTCTACCAAACAGTGATTATATATCGTAATAATTGATAACCACGACTGATCAGTTGTAAATTAATCACTTTATCAGAAGTACTTTAATAAAAACATTCCATTTTTAAAATATGCAAGATTTCATTATATTCCAATTATATAGAAAAACCATAACAAAAAATGAGCCATAATAAAGACTAAAAAATGAATAAAGAAGTAAAATAAACCTTAAAATTTACGAATGAAAACAGCACCAAAAAATAAATAAATAAATAAATAAAAACTGTAATTCCATTTATCACATATAAAAAAAAGGAAAAAAATTTAAGTAAAAGGAAAATTCAATATGAAATATTTGTTTTTTTTATTGAATGCAATTTATTTTGGGATCAATTTTGCCACAATCGATACTGTAATTGGATGCATTGATGGAGCATTTTTCCGGAATAGCTCAATTGCACGACCAGCACTTTCTGACCATTGAAAGAGGTCTCTGCAAGAAAGGAAACTTCTAGTAAAATTGAAACTGAAAATGTGAATGATTAAAGTTATACAAATTGAAAGAATTTAACATAAAATTTCAATTTTCACATTTCCAAATGCTTTCATATTTTTACATGAATTAAAAGTAGTAATTTATAAAAAAGATAGAGTTAAGAAATTTTTTCACAATTAAAACATGAGAGATTAGTTTTCGATTAAAAAATTAGCTCATTTGAAGAGAAAAAAAAAACGTTTAAATGTAGAAGTGTGAGTGAAATGAATTAGAAAAAAAAGCTAAATGAATTTATGAATGAAATGGATTAAAAAAAAAAAAAAATTAAATTAAGAAGCTAAATGAACAAAAATAACTGGTATGAAAGCGACAGTCGATGATTAATGATCTAAATATTCATTTTTTTTTTCCTTTTAACAATTTAAAATTTCGAAGATTGCTTCTAATTCATATCAAAATATGAAAGTAATTAAAGCATAAAAATTTTAATTTAAAAGTTACATTCATATCAGATTCTTTCGATTTATATAATTTTTTTAACATTCACATTTTCAATTTCGATTTAGTAGAAGTAGAATGTTTTAGAAAGTCTTTTAACAAATCCAACTTTTTTTCTTTTTCTTTCTTTTTTTTGTTTTAAATTTATTACAACAGATATAACTCCTCCTATAATATTTACTCAAAAATCTGAGCATAAATAATTTTTAAATAATGTGAAAAAAAGATATACCTATAAATTGATCTTACATATTTGATTCGACCTTGTTGTGTAACGAAATCAAAAGCAACTGGTATGATATCTTTCCAGTAATTTTTTAAACATAACTGAATCCAACTTGATAAAATATCACAATTTCCAGTTTTTGACAGTTTGTTTACCTCATCTAGACGTGCTAATTTCACATGTGATAGTGATGATCCTTTTTCCTGTAAATTATATGAAATGAAAGAGAAATGAAATGAAATGAATGCAAGAAAGTAAGTTTATAAATGCTTCTCCGTAAAACTTTAAACTATATCGACTCAATACTATCCACTTTCATCACTTTATTTTTCTACTTCATTTTAATCTTTCAATTTCTCTTTTCCATTAATTTCTTGTTATTATAGACATATTTAAAAATGATAATGTTTATTTGCTTGCATTTATCTTGATGCGTTAAAATAATTTAAAGCATATAGAAATGCTATCCATTTAAATTAATCAAAGGAAGAAATAAATATGATATTAATTAATAATTAAAATCTAACCAGTCGTAAATAACTCAATACTTTCTCTTTTTGCAAAGCAGAAAGTGAGAGATATTTCTTATTATCAATATTCATTATTTCAGAATCTGTCATATTTGTCCACTCTTCTGCCAATGCAACAACCTCACGCATAGCTGTATCATCAAATCTGTAAAGTGTATATTATCAAAAATATAACTTCTGGATTTAAAAAAGAAATATAACTTCCCGAAATGAATACAAGCAGCAATGCTTTGAATTTTAACAAAATTAATGTGAATTAATTTTGGTTATAAACTGAAATTTTTAAACAACAAAAGAATATATGCTTAGAAATTGTACTACCTTAATCGCTTAATTCTCTTACAACTTATTTGATAGAAAGACATTTTTATTCAAATTTATAAATTACATTATTTGACAATTTTTAAAACAAAAAATAAAAAAAAAAAAACACTTTGGTTTGTATGCGCAAAAACGGAAAGTTTTGAACAGAAAACTAAACTCTTGAAAAAACTCCTTACTATAAACTTAATTTAAAAAATTTCTCAAGAAATTAGATAACACAGCTTTTTTCACTTACTGAGGTTTTGTTTTAGGAATTCCTGTATCATACAACCAATTATTCCAATCGATCTTATCAAGTATATTCTTCTTATCTGAGAAATATTCATATAAAAAAACTTTCCAATCATCAGTTACTATTGATTTTTGAGCAAATTTCTCAATATACTTCTTCAAGAATTCATTAAATGGAGTTGCACCAAGTTGTTGCTCAAGAATCATGAGAAGAGCTGATCCCTAAAAACAGAAAGATCACAAATAATTCAGAATGTTCAAAAAATAAGGTTAAAAGAAATAAATTCAAACAATCTTGTGAACATTTTTAATTAATTTAACTCAAAACAACTTATTTAAGCAAATTCATTTCAAATAATTTAAAACAATTGAAGCGCGCTTAATATTTCAATTCAATAAAAGGAACTTTTTCATATGGAATTGATGAAAATGCATCTTCCGGATCTTTGTTCCGTAAATCCAATACCAATTTCGTAAATGGATGATCATCAGAATATTGCTCTTTAACAGCGCCCATCAAATGTCCCTAAAATTATTTTATTTTAAAATTAATAAATCCAATCAATGATCAATTTTACAAGGAAAAATAAAAATTTACTTCCCAACCACATTGAGCCTCGAACTGTCGTTCTTTTTCGCCTTTAAGTTTTCCTATAATTTTACGTTCCAAAAACGTAGTGAAACCCTCATTAAGCCTAGAAAAATAATAAATATTATTATTATAATATATGTAAAACAATAATGAAACATATACAACTATTTAGAATTACTATGATTTAAAAAATTCAATCTTTCAAGATGCTTTAGTTAAATATTCAATATAACATCATATCAAAATTTTAGCTTAATAGAAATAAGTTATAATAGTTTCGTTAACAGAATTCTATTCATTACTATACGAACATAAATTTTTCCAAATATTTTAAGCAGAAGGGTAAAAAAACACTACAACTAAACCTTATAATAAGCTATAGTATTATTTATTTTAGATTAATCAAAAATTACTAACCTTTGGTGAAAAGTAAATTTCTGTGATCGACAAATACTTACCAAAAATGTTCCCAATTAGCATTACTAACTAAATTTCCTGTCCAACTATGTGAAATTTCATGAGCTATCACATATGCTGCTGATCGATCACCAGCTAATAATGTCGGTGTTACAAATGTCAAACATGGATTCTCCATACCACCAAAGGGAAATGATGATGGAAGTACAACCAAATCATATCTGATATTATAAATATTTATTATGCAATTTATACCACTAAAAATTTTATGCATTTAGTTACTCAAACAAAAATTAAATTTACTATTTTCTCAAAATGAAAAACAGAGAGAGAGAGAAAAAAAGAGATGGAATAATTGATTAAAAGAAAAAATTTGTAAAAAAAAAAACTTCATGACTGTAACATATACAAATCAATAAAAATAAGAAAAATAACAAATTGCAGGTATGTAGTTGCGGGTATAAATCAAATAATATATAGAAATTAAATTATTAAATTTATAATTAAAATGATAAAATTATTCTGTTTATCTTACCTTCCCCATTCATATTTTCCGACTAAATTTTCAGCAGTTTGTAGCATTTTTTCAGTTTCAGCAAATTCATAAAATGCTTTATCAATTACTGTAGGTTCAGCCCAAACTGCGCAACGTGCGCTGAAATCACGTCTTTCCATTAATCCAACAACAATAGCCAGAAGATAAGAAGGTATTCGTATTGGTTGCTTAAATGAATATTTCATCATTTTTCCAATTTCTTCCGGTTGGCCTACAGCAACGGCACTCATAAGGCATATTAAATCACTGGGAACAGCTACCTTAAAAAAAAAATAATAATAATAAATAAAAAAGAGTAAAGAATTTGATTTTATTACATAAAAATTATATTACAGAAAAAAAAAAAAGGAAACTTTGTCTCAGTACAATGTAACATTGTTGGAAGTTAAATTTTCCTTATGTAATTAAAAAAAAAAAGAGTTCTCAATTTTCTGTAAAATGCAAAAAGAGAAAAAAATGAAACTTTGAATTATCGAAACTAAAAATGATTGATTCGAAATGATCAAAGCTTGATATATTCTAAATTTTGAATTATACTACATTAAAAAATATGGAACGAAATAATAAAATTAAAAATAATCTGGGTTTCTAGATTTAAAAATATAATTCAAAAAAAAAAAATTAAAAGAAAAAAAAAACGATAATCCTACCACAGCATCATAACTTTGCTTCACGGAAGGTGTATCCATGCATGGTACTATTGAACGAGCATAAATGGCTTGACATTGACTAAATAAGTAAGGTTTTGTTTTTGTTACAGTTTGTTCAGCTTTCAAAAATTGCAATGCTGAGCATTTTTCGCCTGTATTGTAGATGATAGTAAGATTACTGAAATTAAAATGATACATTTATTACTTAATAATAATTGAAAATATCAATGAATAATTTTAGAAATTATTTATTGCAAATAAATTTAATTATTTGAACACTTTAAGCTTTACTTTATAAGCCTACAAAAAGATAAATTCATATCAAATTAATACAAATAATTCTTTTACGCAAATATCCTAAAGCAAATTTAAAAAAACACATGATAATTTAAGAAATCTTTTCAATGAAATATGATCTATACTCATAAACATTTCATTGTTAATCATTATCATAGAATATTTCAATGTTACAGACGTAAATGACGAAAAAAAAGGAATTTATAAATCTCCGGAAACGACTGAAATTGATTATAAAAAAATAAAAAGTCAATTAAATGATTAAAATTTTCATACCAATCAATAACTAATTAATTATTATAAAAAAACCTACAATTTATCACCATCATTCCGTTTACCCACATTGATTATTATCTTCTCACCCAAAATATCAGCATTTTTCACATGATAATCGACAATCTCATTATCCAATTTAATATTTGTTATTTCCAACGATCGACTATCCAAAATCTGAAATTATTTGTTTTTAATAATTTGATTTTAGTGCTATTAATGCAAGAGTAAAAAGAGATAGGAATATACTTTATGAATTTCTACATTATGACTTTTGAATAATAAGCAAATATTTGTAGCTTACAAAAGAGTATCAAAAAAGATAGTAAAGGTAAAGTATGACTTACTTTCAATGTCAAACTTTAACTGATTTTCCCTTTTTGTAAACAAAATAAAATATATTAACAAATATAACTGAACTCATAGTTATAATGGCAGAAATATCTTAACTTGAACTACTATATGAGCCATTATAATTACGCTATCATTAATTATAAATATTAACTAAACAATTAGATAACCTTACTCTTATTATGATCAAAACAAATACAGACGAAAAAAAAATTTTCAAAAAATAAAACAGTGAATTTAAAATGTGTTATGACACGAAATATTTATAGATTAAAAAATATCATTCATTATTTCCTTAAAATTAGAAAAAATGCATAAAAAAGAAAGAAGGAAATTTTTACTGGAATTATGCGTTATTTGAAAATAAATGTTGTAAAATGAAAAATTATTACAATTTTATCAGTTGGTTTGATGATACGTACTGATAAAACAACACTTCCAAATATTTGACATTTACAAAAATCAACTGTCCAATTTAACGAAAAATGATCAATTGTTGCTTCGCTGATATTAGCACTGGATGATGGATCGTACATAATTTCTGAAATAAATTCATATATGAAAATTCATGCATGATAAAAGTAAAATTTCATTCAAAGAATGAAATAAATTTTACTTAATTATAAACTGTTGAGTGCGATATGTCAATTTCTAAAATTTTAATTTTCATTCCTTCGAAACTATAATATGTGTTAATGAAAATTTAAACAAATTTTTTCATCAAAAATTTATGTAAAAAAAAATTTCATCTATTTTTATCAAGAAAAGAAAATTCTTACAGTTAATAATTAATACTACAACAGAAAGTTTGTTAGGATTATATAATACCTTTTCAATAGATTACCATTTTAAAAGATGTAACCTTAATTTTATTAACCTTATCAAAGTAGTCAATATTTTAAGGGTCGCTCTTATTTAGAAACTAGAAACTAGATGAAATCATTAAATTTTCATATTATTCAATCGGAATAAAAGAAAATTTTTTGACTATAACTTTAACGATAAGTAAATATGCACTTGAATACCCAAAAAAATTTTTGTAATTTGATAATAATTACAAAAAATAATTTAGATTTTGGAAAAGAGTTATAATAATAAAATAAGATATAAGTTGGATAATGACAAAGTAAACGTATAAAAAGCGTATATTTTGCAACAACATTTTTTTTTCTTTTTTCTGCATTTATAGACATATTATCAACATAAAAAATAATTGAATTATTGATAGTAGGAATAAATAATCAGTAAATTTAGTAATAATTACAAAATCGCAGTTTTGAATCTCAGTTGCTTTTTTTTCTTCATAACATATAGTAATATATAATATATTGTTCTGACTAACAATAGAACATGGTAAGAGCTAATAATTAAATCACAAATTATAAAAAGCTGAAGAAATGATCAAAATAAATTAACCGAAGACTATAAAGAATAAAAAAAATTTTGCATCAAAATTTTATCGAAGTTCTTACTAAATAAACAAATGAGTAATTGAGCAGTAAAATGAAAGAAGAAAAAAAGAAAAGAAAAATAGAAATTCCGTAATTCAAAATAACATTAGAGTGATAAGCAGAACTTTTCCAATTCATAAAAGAGGATTCAACACTTGTAATTAAACTATTGCTTTTTTTAACTATCAAAAATGAATTTATTTTTCATTTGTTTTAGAAAAAAGTTGCATTTCGTTTTAGAAGAAAAAAAAATTAACCATTTCAAAACATGATTAAATTACAAATAATTTCAATCATTTTCGTACTAAACGTAGTACTTTAATATCTGGTGACCTATAAACATCATCTAAATCTTCATCTGCTACCGAACAAATACTAAAAAAAGGAGATATCATTTCAAAAAATCGTTCTTGAGCGATCTTTGGTTCTCCAATATCGCGTACTTCATAGCAACAAATAATCGTTAATGCTTCTGATCGCAAAATTAATCTAACAAGTCCTTCCAATGCCTGAATTTAAATGCAAAGTTTTAACCATAGTTTTGTATCAAATATAAAATAAGATAAACTATTAATAATTATGTTATACAATAATTAACATTTCATTTTGCATACTATGTTTGTTATTTGTTAAAAAGATAATAAATGAAATTAGAATTTCTCTTTTTTTTAGAATTCAAAAATCACCAAGTTTGCATATCATAAACTTTTTTTTTAGAAAGGAATTTTATAGGCCGTGATTTTACATTCGCTCCATAAGAGAAAGTTTAGAATTTCTGGATGATATTAATTCAATGAGTGTAATAGCATAGAAATTCAGCACTAAAAATATTGAAAAATTCTGCTCATGAGAAGTTTTCATGAGAAATTAATTAAATTAACAGTAATAATAATAATAATAATAATAATAATACATGATATAACAAAAGTTTTTACCTTTAAATAGTAAATTACATCGATCATTACAATAACATCAAATGAAAGTGTTTTGTCGCAAGGATCATTCCAATCCAAAATTTCAGCTTTAACAAAACCTCCATTTCTTGCTATCACTTCCCAATTTTCCTCAATATTTTGTTCCAATAACTTTATTCCTTCTAATAAATCAGTTGCCACAACATTTGCGCCTAATGCTCCTAATAGAATACTGCATACACCTGTTCCAGCTCCGAGTTCTAGAACCTGCTGGGATAAAATATATTTGAGAATTCTTTAACTACAATCCTATTAATTATTTCCAAAATGATAAAATCTAAAAAAAAAAAGATTATTTGAATAACTCTATTCGCAACTATAATATTACGTTATATCAGAAAGAGCTAAAATGATTTTAGCACTTTTTTTTTTTATTTCCAACAGTGTACAATTTATTATCTCGTTGAAGTTTAAAAAAACTTGCCATGTAATCTAAATTTTGATCATTAATTATAAATTTTTCTTTTTTTCAAATAAAAATCATTTCTTTCATATCAATAATTTGAATTCTTCAACAAACATAAATAAAAAGGATTAAAATTGTATAAAAAACCTTTTTTCCTTTCCAAAATGATTGATATCGAACAAAATAATGACATGCTACAATAGCACTATCCCAAACAACACAACTAACATATCCAATATATTTTTGGCTTATTTTAAATTCATTTCTACCAAATTTTAATTCACGCACAAAATGTGATGATATATCCACTGTTTCGTTTATATTATTACATTCCTGAAATTTTTGTTTACCATCAAATAAAACTAATAATTAGCTAAAAATATAAAAAAATCTTTTAACCAGTACAAAAGATTGTTATTACTATAAGCAATTTCAAGCAAAATAGTACTAAAAGTCTTAGTAAAGATGTAAGTAGTTAAAATTTCTTTAATTTTTTAAAATTCTATATAGCTAATAAAACTTGCATTTAACACTCAACCATTTATGAAATAATTTCTAAAAAAAAAGGAAAAAAAAAGATTAAAGGTTTTATAATTTTTCAAAAAGAAAGAAAAAACAAATGTGCAAATTTTAATAATTCTCATTAATAATTTTACATTGCAATTTTCAAATTACAATCTTAGTTTCTCAAAACACTCAATTCCAAAAAAAAGGCAAAAAGGAAGGAAAAGTAGAAATTATAATTTTCATAAATTTTTAAAAATGAATAATTTCAGTGTATGACAGAATGAAAAATATTTTCCCATTTGTTTCATTTATCTCATAATTTTCCTTTTATTATTATTCTCAGTTTATTAAAAAAAAAACAAAAACAAGAAATAAAAGCAAAAAAACTTACAGAATCATTGACTGCCATATAATTTAATTGATTGTTTCGTTTCAATTAATTATCATTCAATTAAACTTCTCATTTTATATTAAAAATATTTTTTTATTCTATAAAAATTATATTATCTTCATTGTTAAAATTATTGAATTGCATTATTTAATATTATTATCATTATCATTCATATTCTCACATAAAATTTTCTTTTCAATCTCTAAACAATGCTCTTTTCGTAAATTCTTTTTTTTTTCACCATCTCTTTGCTAAAATATTCCCTCACTCTATATTATATAGCCTCATTCTTCTTTTCATTCTTTTATTCTCTGCCACACATATACACACTGTAATCTTTTCGTTTTACTCTCAATCTTTTGTTTGATTTAAGTCACATAAGCGTAACTCAATAAGTTAAAGAAGAAAAAAGTAAGAAAACAAAGAAAGAAAAATGAAAAAAAGAGGTTATAGCAATTGTAATTCAATGTCTAATAATATTTAATTAATTGTTAAAAATTAATTTTAAGTCATTCTACACTTAATTAGGTTCAGGATCACTTTGCTAGTTGTTTGGTTTTTTCATTTCAATTTCATAATGATGGATAATAGTAGGACGTGGTGTATGCGTTTTATACGTTACGTAACGTAACGGTACATTTTATTTGCGTACTTCTTTTGTTGTTTACTGATTATTAAGATAAGTGAGTGAATGATTACGTAGTAAGAAAAAAGTTCACGTATAGACTACGTGTAATGTAGATAGTAATGCATGTAATGTTCAGTAATGAACGTTTGGTTTATTTTCATCATACTTTTTACTTGAATTAACAATAGGGCAACGTGAATGATTATGTGATAGGAAAGGATTTATCCATAAATGGATTACGTGTAGCGTAAGTAATGATACATGTAACGTGTATTAATAATTTGAATTAACAATAGAGTAACGTGATCAGTAATACGAATTATCGGATATTTGTATTCAGCGGGAAGAATGGTACCGGCTGATCCGTCACAATGTGGTACAGCACGGAAACGTGTCGTTGCATGTGATAGTGATAAACTGAATGATGAAGAATATATTTTGAAAAGAAAGCGAAATAACGATGCTGTAAACAGGTTTTTTTTTTTTTTTTCTTTTTTATCCTTGTTCAAATAAATTTTAAAATTCTTTTTTCACTTTTTTTTTTCTTACAAAACCTTAGTTTAATTAATTGAGCCAAGAAATTTGGTTCATTTCAGTATGGTTAATTTAGAAATCTGAAATGTTTTCTCTATTTCTCTATTTACTTCCTTTTTTTTATTACAAATTTATTTTCTAAAATTACCCGATAAATTATTTTCGGACAGTAAATTGTATAATTTTTCTGTTTGCTTCAAAAAGAAAAAAAAATCAGTCTTATTTTGTAGAACACGCCAAAAGAAACGACGAGAAGAAACAGATACAATGCTGCGTGTGGAACATTTAAGGAAGGAAAATGTTGAACTGGAAAAAAAGGTTGTTTTCTTTGCAACAATAAGATATATCCATTTAACTATTAAAATACCTTTTATTATTGGATAACAAATTATTAGATAACAAATTAAGTTAACATTTATTATTCTAAATTAACACCATTTTGAATTTGTCATATTAAACATTCTCATATAATTTTATAATCTTTTTTACATGATTTTTTTCCAGAATCTATATAATTTTTTCAAAAATTTACACGAATTTATTAAATATTTTTATTTGTTTCTTCTTCTTTGGTAGCCATTTTCGTTCTTAATTTCTTTGCTAGCTTTGCAATATTACTACCTTACTATTATAGGTTGAAGGGCT